CGCTTGAGGTGGGGGCGACGATCCTAGTCGAAGAATGGTTAGTTTTATTCCATACGATGCCATGTCGCATATGACTTGATTGTCCTGAAACGTTGGACAAGAATGATACGAAGATAATCTGGGACTACTCACTTGCGCCAAGCTGCTGACTTTTCCTCGGGGGTTGCGTCATTGGGAAGATTGTTGAACTCCCCGCAGGCTTTCGCGCATCTAGCCAAAGCGTTCCAAAAGTCCTTCTGTCTGACCGGATACGAAATACCGTCGCGGTATGCGGAGATCTCTTTGGCCCTTGGTTGAGTCATGATGATGGAACAGGGAGGCTGATAGGTCTTGGTTGGGGATGTGTTTTGTGTTCTAAGTGTCAATTGAGGCTCTTGTGGATGTGGGGAATTAGTAGACGAATGAAGCTGACGATGTGTCATTTAAGTAGTAACTTGCGCTCCAAAGTCTGGGTGACAGGTCTCTTGATCAGTGAATCGAAGCTACGAGTGAATTTGGTGTCAAACACTGCGCCGGAAGGGATGTGAGATTCACCAAAGACGCCGGGTCAACGGTAACGTATTGATCAGAAGTAGCTTTGATGACTGAAACAGAAGTAGAATACCCTGTGCTTATCCTTGTGGCACAGACCATAAACTTCAGGTCAAGATTCCCCCATTGCCTTCTGACAAAGAATCTCAAGGAAATCGCTTTTCCCATTCAAGAGCAGCGATCATAAAGACTCCAGCGCCTCGAAGGTCGTTCTGGCGAAGGCCAATGCTCGAGTAGTACTGGTGAAATATCAGTCTCTCTGTTCCGAAGACGGATGAAAAGAGTGTTGTTACCTCAAAGGTGGCATTGCTTCCCAGACTCCCTACCATGACTGTGCCTTCCCAGTTGATCGTGCCATTGTCGTTGCGAGTGACGAACATATCCACCATACTGTTCCACGCTTTCTTCGCGACATCCAAATAATCCGCTTCAGAAAGATATCCCAGGTTGAGTCCTTTGAGCCAACCGAAGGTGAACATGACGCTTGCGCTGCTCTCGATGTAGTTGCCCTCGACGTCCTCGTAGCGCTTTTCCATGACGTTCCACCAACCACCCGACTCGTCCTGGGCGCCTTTGAGGCCTTGTGCCAACCCCTTGAAGTATCCTAGAAGTCTTTCCCGTCCGGGGTGCTCTTCAGGGAGCAAGTCGATGACCTCGAGCAAAGCCATGAAATACCATCCATCGGCACGGCCCCACACCAGCGGCGCAGCGCCAGTTTCGGGATCGGCCCACACAGCTTGCTTGCTCTCGTCGTACCCATGGACCAGCAGATTGTCATCTCGCCGAGTGCGGGCGTCGATGTTGTCGAACTGAAGTACAATATCGTCCCAAGCTGTTTGGTTATCTGGCTGGAATAACGACACATACTTCGCATAGAAGGTATCAGCCATGTAGATGCCGTCGAGCCACATCTGATTCGGGTACACGACCTCGCGATGCCATAAGCCGCCTGTAGGTGTGCGCGGGTGGTTGTCCAGGGTTCTCTTGATTCCATCTGCAGCAATGCGATATTTTTCTTCTCCTGTTTTCTCGTACCAGTAAAGCGCGTTGTTGCCAAAGCGGTAGGGATCAAGACTGTAGCGCAAATAGTTGAAACCGTCAATGGTGCCATTGGGAAAGATCACCGCGTCGACTTGGGCTCGGTAGTAGTCGTAAATCGTCTGGTTCTTCGCATGCTCATATATAGCCTCAAAAGAAGTATATAGAGTCGCCTGATCGTAGTGAAAACTTGGCTCAACTCCGCGTCGGATCATCGAGTCGGTCATCCATGCAGAATACGGAGGATGATTGCATGCTGGCGCGCCCGCACCCAGGATTGCTGCCACAACGCCTACTACAAGCGCCGCATTCACAGACCTCATTTTTGGCAAGATGTATTGTCCCAAATGAAATTGATCTGTCTTCCAAAGAAACTGACACGACTTATTTGAATCGGAGATCTATCGATATTTACTCATTCTGGTGACCATTTAACATGCTGGTTCGGCAATGCGCCTTGATGGCGATTATTCCGAACAACCCTGACAATGCATCCATTCCACACCGAGTGAATGGTTCCTGGACGGACAAATTGGATCATCCTGCATTCTCTGGATGAATTTCGACCTAATAGTCGGTCTGAGTTGTGGAAAATTACATCCCGTGCCAAGATTGCCCCCGATCGGCTCCGCTGCGGCGCGGGGCAGATCTTGGCGACCGCGAGATACTGCGGGGAGGTGGCATCCTCATGGGAAGTCGGACTGGCATGGAGCTCGCCGTTGGACGCTGTACTGTCTTTAGGCTATACTGCAATTCCGTATCCCGGGGCCTTCGTGCAGGTAGATCACCAGGAACTTCATCTTGTCGCTGCGGTGATCTCGGTCGCAGACAAAGGCAGGCAGGCTTATTTGAAAAAAAAAAAAAAAAATGGAAGCTTGAATTTTCTTCGAGCATTATACGTTCCTTTGTCCTCGAGGATGTGCTCTAGCCACCTGTTCTGAAGCCTTATGGCCTTTCATTTCCTGCATCTGCTCTTGTCGCCTCTTCCTTGGCAATAGTCTCCTCATAGATGTCATACTTGTACTTGAACCCGGGATGATCAGATCTTAGCCCCTTCTGTCCGAGACCATAGATCTGCTCGCGGAAGGTAGGCGCAGGGGCATCCGCCGGAATTGCTTCCGGCAACAGTCCCCGACTTCTTAGTTCAGGGACGAGATATTCAACGGCGTCTTCAAAACTGCCAGGTGTGATGACGTATCCGATATTGAAGCCATCGACATCGGCAATGTCAACCCACTCCTGAAAGACGTCCGCGACCTGGGCGGCTGTTCCAACTGGCATAGCTCCATTGCCACCAATTGCCGTGACGGTGCCCAAGTTGCGAGGTGTCAGCTTGGGGACATCGTTGCCGCGGTAGCGCAGATTGTAAAAAGAAGAGTGGATTCTCTGCAAATGGTTTGCGACATCCTTCTCCGTGAGATCATGATCAAGGTCGAACTGTGAAACGTCGATACCCGTCGTAGCCGAGAATTGAGCAAGACCTCCCTCGATCAAGACATACTTCAGGGCTTCTTCGTACTTGCGCTTGGCGTCTTCATCGTCTTTGCCGATGATGGGAGTGATCATAGCAAAAACCTTGACAGAATAGGGGTCGCGACCAGCAGCGATTGCGCCTTCACGGATAGCCTTGACTCGAGGTGCCACAACATGAGGTGACAGACCAGCGACGAAGATGCCTTCGGCATGGGTCGAGCCAAACTTAATTCCGGCTCTGTTACGCATAAGCTTGGTGTATCCAAAAACGGTACAGTGACTTACGGCGATGTTCCGGCTTGAAACAGAACTGGCGTGCGCTGAGGAGATGGGTCTGTCAAGAATGGCGCGTCGACGTGAAATTTGCCATGGTGGTGAATAGGTCTGATCTGAGAGTAGTCGGAGTAGATGCCGTTCTCTGCGTCTTCCTTCAACGCTGTGTCTGACCATGAACCTTCCCAAAGCCTGGGTGCGATGTCAGAAAGACCTTTTGAGTTGTGATCTGCTCATAGGTGCTCAGAAACCCACTTGTATAACACACGGAGGTATTCATCCGCATTTTCATACCGAGTGTCGTGCTCTACAAGAGGCAATCCGACCTGTCCTACTCGTCAGCTCCAGCTGTCCAATAACCTTAAACTGAAAACACCTACAGCCTTAGATGCAGATTCTTTCCAACTAGTGACAATGTTCCAGCCAAAACGACCCTTGGTGAGATGGTCAAGAGTGGCAAAACGCTTAGCAACAACATAGGCCTGCTCATAAGAGGTAGACGTTGTTATCGCGAAGCCCAAATTCTTCGTCACCGCTGCCATTGCTGAGACAGGCTTTGGCCAGGAATCAGCTTAAGTTGCCTTTCAGGTTATCTGGGGCTCACTCACGATGACAGGATCGGCCATTGGCCACTGGGCCCCGGTCCTTACAGATGGCTCAGCGCTGCCCTTGTATCTGCAAGACTGGATTAAAACGGTGATCACCATGAACTTCCGGAATGGAAACACTTACGTGTCGTAGGGACCAAATGTGTCTGCTAGGAAAAGGCCTACGAAGCCCCCCTTATCCAAGAGCTTGGCTAGGTCGGTCCAGTAAGTGAGATCCCGGCGCTTATCCTTGGCCCGGTCCTTCGGGTTTCGCCACTGCCCGAATGACAGATGGCCCACCGTGAACATGTCGAAGGCATTGAGCAAAATTTCCTTTTTGGGTTTGGTTCCATTGCTTTCATTTTGGGCCTCTGATGAAGTCATCGTGAGTGAAGTTCAGCCGGCGGTTAGGTAAGCAGTCTAGGTGCAGCCAAGCGATGTGTTGAAGGGGGAATGAACACGACCACTGCAAGATGCTTTGAGTGTCTACACCCAGTCTAGCTCAACCAATTGCCCGAAAGAATCATTGTATTATACTGACTCTGCTGGTTTGCGCCATCGTGCCCGAGTCTTGCGTGAAGAATCCTTCCGACGTATCACGCATAAGTCCCATACTTTCCCCCGGTGCCCTGGAAGTCGGGTCCTGTATCGGACACAGAACCTAGCTTGGCTGCAAATATTCTCTAGACATTGAATACCACAAAAGAACAACTACAATTGTGGCGCGAAAACAACGGGTTTTAGCCGGGTTGTGCTCAAAATCGGAGCTGTTGCGACAGCGTGCGAGGTTGGCCGGATGGTGGCATGGTGGGCCGGGATTTCGCCATCCACTCTCGGCGTCCCTCAACGAATCAAGTGCAATCCCAGCACCTCACCAATGGCACTTTAGACCTCCATGTAAGTATGCGCAGCTTATATCGCCATATGGACATCAAGCACATCATACATGCCACCCCCGAACCCCCGCTGATAAGGATGCGGCACGTCGGTAACACGCCGCAAGTGACGAGGTTCTGCCCGGCATCGGGTATTCAATAGAGAATTTCCCGTTGAAGATAAAGATGACCTGTCCACAGAAAGTCACCGAGATACTGCACCATGAGCTCCACCATTCAGCCTGACGAAGTCCGAGTCAACCATGACGCGGCGGCAGCGACTCGAAAGCAGGCTAATGCCACTGTGGCTCGGTCGAATGTCGACAATCTTCGAGATGACCCTGAAGCTAGGGCAGCGTTCTTGTCAACGTTCTCAGCCGACGAAGAGCGCAGCGTTTTGAACAAGATCGACAAGAGGTTCTTAATTATCATTGGTTTCATGTACATGATCAAACAGGTATGTCGGCTGTGGGCTGAAGAAGTATTGACACGTAACTGACTGAGAACAATGAAGATTGACCAAAGCAACGCGGCAAATGTTCGTGTTCTCCAGATCGGCGAATCTCGAAACATCATGAAGGAGCTTAGTATGACTTCTGACCAATACAACTGGGTTGGGTCTATTTACGGAGTGAGTATATCATCCGAACACGCACAATACACCTCGCGCATAAGACTAACACCTTCAAGATTGCATATATCGTGTTTGAAGCACCAAGCAATCTTCTTCTTAAGCGCATGAGTCCGCATCTGTGGCAATCTCGCATCTTCCTTACGTGGGGAATCATTACCGCATGCCATGCCGCGGCACAGAATCGGCACCAGCTTTATGCGATGCGCTTCTTGCTAGGGTAGGCACTAGCCCCCTTGAGTATGATTTGCTCAATATAGACTGACTTGGTGCGACAGAATGTTCGAGGCGGGCATGTTTCCAGGAGTCATGGCCCAGCTATCCAGCTGGTACCGCACCGATGAAATCGGCAAGCCCGTGACTTGGTTCTTCGCCACCTCGAATCTTGCAGGTATAATCGGGTCTCTGCTCTGTTATGGTATCAGCTACATGAATGGCATCGGTGGTCTTAGCGCCTGGAGATGGGTATATCTACTCGAAGGGCTGGCGACGATCGTTTTCTCAGGCGCTGTGTTCTGGTACTTACCCGATTACCCAAAGTCTCCTCGAAGCGATCGATGGTTTACCAAACGCGAGCAAGAGTTCATTGAGGCTCGACTGCCAGAGAACGCGCCGCTCACCAACGATCCAGACTTCTCCAAAAAGGAGATCTTTGCGGTGCTGAAGACGCCACTCATTTGGTCCTTCATGTTGTCGCAAACATTGATCAACATTGGCGGATATGCGCTCACGTGGTATTTGCCGACGATTGTCACCAACCTGGGGGTCGTGGGTCTGCCGAAGAACCAGTTGCTCAACATTCCGCCAGCTGCAGCTGCCATCCTAGGTCTCATTTTCTCAGCCTGGTTCATGTCGAAGGCCTACATCGTCCGGCCCGCACTTATCATGTTCGTATCCCCCGGATCACTTCCAGGATATCAGAGCTAACGCAAATCCAGGATCATCATGTCAGGCATGGCACTTCCCTCCTACATACAATCCCGCCGGCACCCACTGTTAGTGCCGTGCTGGGTCTGCAATCTGAACACTAACACCACCAAATAAACCCCCTAACAACCGGAACCCTCGCCCGCGATGGCCTCACAGCCGGCCGCGGGCCCCTCGCAGGCCCCTAGGGGCCTCTCATCCTCTATGCATAGTCTCCCCCAGACCCCTCCCCCCCCTACCTCCCTACCTCCACGACCGAGGGGCCTCACGCCCCCCCCTATCCGGCCCTTGGGAAGGGGGCCACGATCGGCCACCGCCGCCCTCCAGCAGGCTCGAGAGGGTCAAGCCCTCCGAGATGAGGCCCTGGACCTCCTCGCCAGAGGCCTAGATGCCCTCATTGGGACGGCCCCAGCACGACTGAAGGCTACAGCCCAGGGCCTCATCGATACCTTTACCCGGTTTGCAACCGCAGAAATCTCTGGACCCACCCCTGGCCCCGGCAGTGGAAAAACGTATGCCCAGGCAGCTAGTAGCTCTACCGCTAGCGGCCCCGGCCCCAGCCCCAGCTCCAGCCCCAGGTTGAACCCAGCAGCAGGCCGGCGGGCCACCAGCCGCACACGCCAGCCTAAGCAGACCCAGGACCTCCGCCTACTAGTTCGGCTCCCTGCAGAACACATCCCTACCTCCAGAACCCTAGCCCCTCACTCAGTTAAGATGGTGGTAACAAAAGAGCTTAACTTACAGCCGCAAGACCTAGTTGAGGTCCGCCATACTGCTACAGGCTTCTCACTTCAGCCCCAGAACAAAGAGATCCAAGCTTTACTTCTCCAGAGAGCCCCTGAGATCAAAAGCTGCCTTACAGCTGAGAAGGTTGAGGTGCCCACTAAGTGGCATCAGTATATCGTCCCATTCTGCCCCCTCTACTTTACTAGCCTCGATGGTAGTAAGGTTGGCATAGAATCTGAAATAGAGGAAGAGGTCTTCCTAAAGACAAAGCAAAGACTTATCTCCTGGCGCCCAACCCGGGATAGCCCTGATCTAGCTACAGCTACGCAAAGCCTGGTTATCGCCCTCCCTCAATGGGTTAAGGAAGGCTTCCGCCTGTTTGGACAGTCAGGTCCTGCTCGTCTGCTCCCCCCAAGGAAGCATATCCCTAAACGACACTCTCCTGGCTGCCAAGGCTTTCACTCAAACCGCTACTGCACCCGGAAACCCCTCTGCGAGAACTGTAGCAAACCCTTAGATACTCATAAGGCTGGGATCTGCTTAGTTAGGCCTAAGTGTGCTAACTGTCATGGGCCCTTCCCAGCAAGCCATGCAGACTGCCCAGCTAGGCCCCTACTGGTTAACAGAAACCTTACTATTCCAAGCCGGAAAGAACTGCGAGGGATCCAGAAGGTTGGAGAGAAGGCGTCAAACGACCTTCTAGCAAACCAGGCTAGCTCCCTAGGAAGCAGCACACAGCAAGCTGAGGCTAGGCTAAGCGCTACTTCTAAGCGCCCTCGACCCCTCACACCTACGCAAGACTCAATTATTGTTGCAGATACTGCTAGTATAGCTGGGAGCAGCAGTATGGATGAGGATGAGGCTGAAGACTCTGAAACCCTCCCCCCCCTAACTAACCGCCCTATCCATCCACTCCCAAGCAGCAGCAGGAGCCAGAGGGTAGCCCAGAAGCCTGACTATAACGTTGTTAATGCCTACACCCACCTCGACCTCGACTCAGAGCTATAGGCTCAGGCCAGCTACCCCACAGGTACTACGAGTTGCCCAGTGTAATGTGGGGAAGAGGAGCCCGGCCCATACAGCTCTCTTAGAGCTCTGCTGGGCAGATCAGATCGACATAGTTTTGGTCCAGGAACCCTGGATAGGCTATAGAGATAAGATGCAGATTAATACACACCCAGGCTTTAACTCCTATGTACCAGTTGACTTCTGGAACAATAGAGACACAAGGCCTAGGGTTATGACCTACACACGCAAAGGTCTAAGGCTGCAAATACAGCAACAAAGACCTACCTAATCAAGAGATATCTTATGGGTGAAAGCTGGCGACCTCACTATTATGAACATATATAGGCCGCCAGATGAGCCTATAAACCAAGCAACCAGCCTCCTTCTAGATTATCAACCGCCAGAGAGAGCCCTTATCGCTGGGGACCTTAATGCCCGCCACTCCTCTTGGGAACCTGGGTCCCCTAGCCGGAATCGAGGAGACGATATTGCAGAATGGGCGGAAGGCTACAATCTTCTGTTTATTGGGGAGTTTGGGGCCCCTACCCATACCCACAGGCATACCCTCGACCTAACCCTCTCAAATATTCCCTTTACTGAGGCTTATATCAGCCCACACCTACACCCAGGGGCTGACCACGAAGCCATCACAACAACTATCCCTATGAGTAGGGCCCAGGAACAGGGACGCCAGGATAACCAGCTCTCAGTCCCGGAGTCAGCCCTACCACGGCTGATCGACCTAGTAAAGGCTGGGGCTACAGCCTTACCTACTCTAGGGGAACTGCCCAGCCCAGCAGAGCTGGACACCCTAGCTGCCCAACTGGTCAGCCTCTTCCATACAGCTATTCAAGCTGTAGGCAAGAGACGGACTAATCAGGGTAGGGGAGCCCCCTGGTGGACAGAAGAATGCTCAGTAGCCCACCAAGCTGCTATTAAGGCTAGGCGCCAACAGGCCCAAGAACCTGGGCTGGTCATACCTCCCCCTATCCTAGAGGAGCAAAAAGTCTTCCTAACAACTGTGAGAAGGGCGAAACGCACCTACTGGACTGCTAAGATCGAAGAGGCTAAGACAGACCAAGACCTATATAAAATTATAGGCTGGCGGAAGTCTAGCCTAGCAGTTAAAGCTCCGCCTCTAATAGTGGAAGGGCAGACGATCAGCAATACCCACGATAAAGCCCAAGCCTTGCGAAAGGCTCTACTAGAGCGATTTAGTGCTACAGACGACCTATCTGGGAACCCTTTTAGTACCCCAGTGGTTGTAAGTCGTATTATACCCTGGCAGAATACAGTTAGCATAGAGGAAGTACGCCAGGCTACTCTGACAAAAGCTACAACCCCTGGGACTGATAGGATTACTACAAAGTTGCTACAATGCACCTGGGGATTAGTAGCCAAGCCTATACAACAGCTCTTCCAGGCCTGCGTTCAAGTAGGCTATTTTCCTAGACCCTTCCGCAATGCGGAAATTGTCATGACCCAGAAGCCAGGGAAAACAGATTTCTCTAAGACTGGGTCTTGGCGCCCAATATCCCTGCTGTCCTGCTTAGGCAAAGGCTTAGAGCGGCTGATAGCAAAGAGGATGGCCTACCTTACTATCCTAGAAGGGGTTGCCAGCCCACAGCAGGTTGGAGCCCTACCAGGGAGGGCTGCAGTCGACCTGACAACCTGTCTAACCCATGAGATTGAGAGGGCTCTAGATACAGGGCTTACTGCGACGCTAGCAACAATGGACGTCAAGGGGGCGTTTGATTCCGTCTTACGAAACCGACTTATTGTCAGGCTACGACAGCAGGGCTGGCCTAGTAGCCTGATCAGACTGATCTACACCTTCACCTCTAGCGGAACAGCCTGCGTCAGGCTAGAGGATACTACTACAGAGGACTTCCCTCTATCCTGTGGACTACCGCAAGGCTCTCCACTATCCCCTATCCTCTTCCTGCTCTATATAGCTGATATCCTAGCTGATGATCGGAAGCTACGGTTTGGCTATGCAGATGATATAGGCTTAGTAGCTACTAGCCCCTCGCTAGAAGAGAACGCTACAGCCCTAGGCCAGGAGATCACTAGTATCCTCAGCTGGGGAACAGAAAATAAAGTCGCCTTTGACCCAGCTAAGTGTGAGGCAATCCACTTCAGCAGAAAACATCAACAGACAACAGACCTACCAGATATCCAAGCCAGAGGCCTAACTATCAAGGCCTCAATAAAGCCTATAAGATGGTTAGGGGTCTGGTTTGATAGGAGACTCACCTTCCAACACCATGTAGGAATAAAGGTAGCAGCAGCAAAGAAGGTAGCCTATTTCCTACAGCACCTTACAAACACAAAAGGGGGGCTCCCAGCAGCTGCAGTTCGAAAAGCAGCTATTGCTTGCGCCCTCCCAATAGCCCTATATGGAGCTGAGACCTGGTATGCAGGCTTGACCAGACCAGCCCTGAACAGCAGCACCAGTATAGTCGGCACAGGACAGAAGGGTTTAGCCTGTAGAGTCGGAAGAGTTATTACAGCAGCAGCAAGGGCTATCCTACCTGTCTGGAGGACCACACCAACCAGTGCCCTCATCCGAGATGCTGGCCTACCAACAGCAGAGGTGGCCCTTGAGGCAGCGCGACTACGCTTCGCTACACGCCTACAGAAGGTTGACCAACAACATCCCTTGGTCCCAAGGCTTCTACAGCCAGGGCGGCAGCAGACCAGGCTCCAAAGAACAGCTGGCCTCTTACCTAGGTGCCCAAGGCCAGCACTCCTACAGCCGCAATACCCCCTAGGGTCTCACCACCCTATAGTCACACAGACGAAGGAAGCAGCAGCAAGGATCTTCCAGGCCTGGCTTAAGACTGTGCCAGATAAGCATACTATTATCTACTCAGACGGCTCTAAGGCCCCTGATGGCGCTACAGGGTTTGGCTTTGTTATATACCGTAAGAACAAACGTATAGCCCAGGGCTGCGGCCGCCTCAGCTTAGCAGAAGTGTTTGATGGGGAGGCTGAGGGGGCGAGGGCAGGGCTCCGACGGGCCCTCCTTACCTCCCAGGGCCAGCCTATACATATCTGTATCGATAATACCAGCGTTATCCAGGGGATCCGAGGCAGGGTCCCAGACTCCTCACAAGCGGCCTTCCTTGAGATCCAAGAGGCAGCTAGGACGTATGACATACGAACCCATTGGTCCCCAGGGCATGAAGGCATCAAAGGGAACGAGGAAGCAGACAGCCTAGCCAAGGAGGGCACAACCATGCCAGCCCCTAGGGGCCAACTAG